ATAAAGTCTGTTTCTAGCATTTAGCAGAGCCAAAGGTTATTTATAGGGTACCGATAGTGATGTAATTCTATTATAATGTAAAACTTGCATAGAAATACGTTCATTAATACGGTTTAAGATTTGTAAAGTTTTTAAACGTGAGTGTGCTGGTTTTGGCTGGTTAATAACAGTTAAGCCCATGGAAGAATCTTGTAGTGAATACTGGGGCAAAATTACTATCTATAGACCCATGTTCTAAATTACTCTCACAGATATCTATCCCTGGGATTTAAAATTCTTCTTCCCATTGGTAAAATGAGCAGGACTTAGCCCAAAGGCAGAAAAAACTTTTGCCTCATAAGGAACAAAGATGGGAATTTTCTGCTATTCTTAGTAGCTTTCATGTTTATATAAAACTAATAATATTAAAAAATGAACAGGCTTATCTCTAGGATTGCTTCTTACATTTCTGAATCTAAACTTCTGGGTTTTTTTAGTGATTCCCTGATGTTTAAAGTTGCAAAGGCAGTAAGACTTGTGAATATAAACCAACATAGTATCTCCAGGACTTCTGTAAGATTGCTTGGGATATCACTGTAAAATCCTTGACATAAGTTTTAAATTTATTGCATGTATTCAGTAAGCTGAAAACACTGAATATTACTGATAGCGATTTAGATGACACCGTTGACTATTCGCTGTCAATTAGCTATCTTTCAGGTTTTATTTTTGTGGGATGATAGCATGAAGACTGCATAACTTCCTGCGAGTACCATCTTATTTGACAGCAGGACTGGGTACAGGTAAACAGTCCTGGCATCTCAGTTCAGTCTCCTTGTGAATAAATGGAAAGAAGGAGATTCTGACTTAGGTGTTCTTCATCCTTAATCTTCCTGAGGACAGCCAGGTTAGATACCTAAGGCCCCCTCCTCTCTCCAGAAGGGTTGCTTGCATGAAGAACAACAGATTGCACCAGTGTTTAGTGTCTTCACGTTTGAACCTGTATGAAGTATGCAACCATCATGTTGCTAGGACCCAATCGTGAATGGGCTGAGTACACATACTTTGCCAGCCCACGTATGATGCTATAATGCTAGCTTGATTAATAGGGTTGCACATCAGATGGCACGCTTGGGTCCTGCAGGGACAGATGGCAGAGGTCTACAGGGAGAAAAAACAGGAAGAAATGAAGTGGGTGGAAAGAGAAAATCAGGTGTCCGTCACCCTACAATGGCTTGTATGGAACGGGTAAGTGCTAATAGGTGATACCAATCCTGTACCTTTTCCATACAAACACTTTCCTAAATATGTGTGGTTTTTCCATTTCTCTATCCAATACAGAAACTGCACAATGTTCCCGTTTCATTTATCTGTCTTTTTATTGAGATCTTCTGCAGCTTGTGGTAATACATTTCTTTTCTTTCTTCTTTTTCTTTTATTCACAGTTAAAGACTTGTACTGTATCTCCAAACCTTTCTGATAGATTCCATAGAGAAGAAAATGATTCAGGGGAAAAATCTTTGAATGCATTTTTTTGAAAAAATTAGGACTAAAGCTACCTTAAAACTCCCTGCAGGTTTAATGAGAGTGCCTGTTAAATTTTCTGGGTATAGAAGAATAATCTGCTAAACAAAATCCCTGCAATCGTACCTTGGTTGCCTATCTTTTTTTTCTTTTAAACTTCAGAATAAATGAAAAATTGATCTGTATGGTCACTGAAACATTAAATTGTCTTATCTGTCACTTGTTCAACATTGGCTTCTTAAAAGGGAAAACAGCAATCACAATCAGCAGTTTCCCAGTGCCTAGAAGAAAATAGAAGCTATAAATGGACAGATGAATTATGTGCTTCCAGTGGTTTTCAAGGGAAGCATTTACTGAGGGAGAAAATTGTTTTAATCTTATAACAACTAAGGAGTGTAGAGTTTGTAAAAACATGGAACACCTACACATAAACTTAATTTTTGTTGCATAGGAACATATACGAAGTAGCTTTCAACAAAAATGGTTGGGGAAACAAGCTCTTTCATTGTTTGGTATGCTATTTTATATCTTTAACAAATCTCTGTGAAGCACTCAGGGAAACCTAAATACAGTGGGTTAGTTGAGTGTTCAGCCTTTACAGTATTCAAAAAATTAGGAGTGAATCTTCTTTTAAAATGGAAATAAGTATAAATTTGGGTCACGTGGTGAGTATCTTTTCTTTCGTTATTTTGAAAGAGTGGAGGAAAAGAATAGGAGGAAGCTAGAATCAAACCCAGACAAAACGCAGCCTCCGCATTCTTGTTTTTCATTTCTCTGTCCTATGTCTATTTCTAGATTTTGCTAAGGATCCACTGAAGCAAAACACAGAGTTGCAAACCTGCCAGTAGGAGGCATGGATATCCTCTTTCTTTGATTAATTAATCCTGGCCATTAGAGCACACTCTCTGTCCTTTTTTTTCTCTTGTCCAGCTGTTTTACATTCAATGGCAGAATGAAACCAAATAAATTTTGGGGAGGTGAAAAAATCGGAAAGCTTTCAAGAATGAAATTTTTCATTCTCTCTTGGAGAAACTAAATAAATAAAGTACTGGACATCCAAAATAACATAGATTATCAGTTAATAAGGACAGAAATATTTGTATACTTTGTTATGATGGGAAGGTAATAAGAATCATAATCTGATCCTTAAAATTAAGCTGTTTTTTGACTGCAAATCTAGAAGCCAGGTAAGGCTAAATAGAGTTACCCTTTTATCACCATTGTAGCATACTGTCCAGTGTAATAATGAGATTTTCTTATGGCTGCCCTCTGTGCTGGTGTTGAGAACTGCTTAACCTACTAGAAATACTGGGGGGAGTGGGGAGGAAGAGGAGAGAAGATTGTTGAGGACTGGGGAGTGAGGGTGTTCCTTTGGTTTTAGTTCCAATGTGTGCAGAGCAGGGGACACGAAGGCAACCTGATATATAAAACATTGATTTTTGCGCAAGATGGCTTATCTGCCAAACATTTCCAATAACATTTTCCCTCCTAAGTGGAAGCATGTGGATGCATTACTCAAAGGTGGACTGGAAATGTAGATCCCATTCCTTCTCCCACTGATGTTAAAGTAGCTGTGCAAGATCAACTATTGGTAGAGCTGTGAGCAAAACCTAAGAAAGGAGAGCAAACTGGTGGGAATGTTTTTAGAAGGGGAGTTTTGTACTGGAGAACTCATTAAGGTTTCCTAAGCCCTTCTTGCATGCAGGGTACAACTTTACGTACAGCCAAAATGCCAAGCTAATTCCCATCTCTTTTGTTTTGGTGAAGCCACATTGTGGGAGGTGGGTACAACCTGAGACTCCATTAGTACAATCACTTTGAAGACCGAGTTCAGTTCCTTAAGGGTTAGTGAAATAACTAGCAAAAGCTGCTTGTAGTTGGTGGTAGCACATGTGAAAGTATTTGCATTGTTCCAAAGGCAGTGAGTGGAATATTATGGGTGAAATGTGGCAAATAAAATCAAGGGGTTATGGGAACAGGAACGTTCAAGTTCTCGGGTGGAAACTGACAACTAGGGATTCAGACCTTGTGTGGAATTTTGATAGCTGTTTTTACTCATGAATGCCTGGGTTTATTTGACCATAGGAAAAAAGAAAGGGAGAACAATATCTGCAGGGGATAATTTTTATTTCACGTTGATCAGAAATGGCAGTCAACAACAGTAGCTGAAAATGCTATAACTAGAGAGGAAAATACTTAGAGAAAGCAGATACATGTTATGTTTTGTAGAATGGTATTGCTGATAGACTGCTATAGAAGCTTAAGCATGGCGTTAATTCATGACTTCTCTGAATACTGATACAGTTTTCTCACACACGGGGAGGGGGGAGTTACTGATACCTAACTGTCTTTGAAACATACTTTGAATTCTTGAAGTATTTGACTCTTCATTTTCATCTCTTTCCTACGACACATTGCCACTGCTTGCTACCTTATATGATGGATAGCAAAACTTACACGTTCCATTTAAAAGGTTTTAGCATGAATTAGTACTTTAAGTTTTAAACAGAATGTCTGCTTGGGATTTATCCACTGTCACATACAAAATAGCATTATTGTTTTAATTGTATTTGATTACTTGGGATAGGGTGGACTGTATATTTTTTCTTATGTTTTTTGTGTTTGCACCTCTAGATGTAATGAAATAAAAAAAATGCACAAAGAAGATTTTCCAGCCTAGCAGATGTTCAGGGTTCAGTACATAAAGAATAAATGCAATTGCACATTACTAATACAGAGCCAAGCGGTGTAATAGGAATGACCAATCTTAAAGTTCAGAAGTCCTCCTTACATGTGAGGACTGTGGTTTTCATGTGTAGTGAAAGATTTAATGCCTTAAAGAACAGATGTCTGTGTTCCAACAAATATGATACTCTAAACAAATTGTGGTTGTCAGTGGGGATTCTGACAAAGGGAGTTCTTCTGTCAAATAAACGATAAGATCCTAATTATTGTAAAGGCACAGCCTATCTAATTTTTTCCTTAGCCTGTTTTACTGGGTTTTTTTGGCTGTATTTGTTAGGAAAATTGTTAAAATGTGCTAATTTATTATGCCTCTGTTTATGCAGTGCTATTCCTGTTTTTATGGGAATCTCACAGAGGATCATGTGCATCGGTGGAAGGCTGCTGTGTCCGTCAGCGTGGAATAAATGGTACACAAGACCATATGGAAGCTCTCAGCATAGAGGTATTTCTCAGTTCTTGGTCTTCCTTGGCGTAGTTCTAAAGGTGATGAAAAATCAGGCCAGAGAAAGAAATGTTAGGAATAACCAAGATTGTTGTTAACATGCCTGTCAATGAAATGCAGTGGGAAGGTTGATGATGAGGAAGGGAATTAAACATGTGGAAGAATCTAGAAAATCAGAGCTTGTAAATAACTGCAGCCTTGAGGCTTTTAATATGTCAGTCACTGGCCTTCTCCACTGAGAGCGACTAAAATGTTTACAGTGCTTTTTTTGGGTGGATGACATTTAAAACCTCAGCAATGAAATACTCACCTTTTTCATTTTAAGTAACTGCGTACAAACATGTATTTGTGAAATGTAATTTTTGATTGCCACAAAGAGAGACTTGTAAGAAGGCATAAATGAGTTCACAAGTGTTACCTTCACCATAAGGACTTCCTTATTGCCTTTATATTCTGTAAATCAAGGAGAAAAAAAAAAAAGATCAGAACTCATGTGGTTGTTTCTATGTCTTCAAGAGCTGACCAACGATAGCATAAGGGAAAAGGTAGGGTCAACAAAAAGTTTCTTGAGGAAATATCAGCCAGATGCCCGAGTTCTCATCGTATCACTTTCTCTTGCAGAAATTTCATGAGAAAGCTAAGCCTATAAATACAGACTTCTTAAGTCTCTGGTCTTCAGACATGTGAAATTCCATGTGCTGAGGCACACATTTCTGTGCAAGGTTAGGTTGGTAAGCATATGTCCAGTCATTAATGAGCCAAATCCTGCAGCACATAGCCTTAAGAGGGGAGCATGCCTTCTAGCAGGGCTCCTGTCAGCACTGGGTCGTGCTCAACAGCACATTGCCAGCTGCAATACCAGTACCATGACCTTTCTTTTGCTCCTTGACCCACACATCAGATGCAGCTGGTCAGATAATCACAGATCAGACTGACCACCTGCGTCTGATGTGTGGGATACAAAAGTGGGAGAGAAGCCGTGGCACTGCCATATGAAAATGTGCAATGCCGGCAGTGACAAGACTGTGATACAAAAGAATGACTCAGTGCACGAGACTTGACAGGTCTGCTTTCTAGCACAGCTGGGGATTCACCAGATCCCATAGCACAGGAAGCGGGAAGGGAAGTGCTCTGTGTGCTGCCAATTCCTCCTCTTCGCAGAACAATCCTTAGAAGTCTGTTTCTGCATGCATAACTTACCAGCCTACCTAATGAGATTTGCACCGCAAATGCCACAGCTAAATTTGTCTTACAGATAGCGTGGAAAGCACTTTAGCCTAAGAAAATATGATTTTTAGCTTCTTCCCCATTTATTTCATAGAGAGCTCTTGTTAAGTGTTCAGGTTTTGAGTCAATGTTATCAAAGCTACATGTTTTGACAGGTTCTCTCCTGTGTGTGTGTATATGGAAAGGTTCTTCATGTACCTCCTAAGTTGAGAGATATAATTTGAACAGAGAAAATTACGGTTCATAAAGTGCTCTCGTTAGGTGACATGACTATGCTTAGTCCACTGCAGGACAGCCTACACAGAGAAATGCATATTTCCATACAAATTACAGTATACTGCAGCCAAGAGATCAATTAGAATGTCTGCGACCAAGAACTCTCAAGTGTCTCCATTCAGTCTGCCATTCAAACGAGACGAGAAATGCGTTCAATTGGTGTAAAGAATTTGAACTCTTTCAGGGAATGCGTAGAGACTGCCGGAAAGTGGCATTCCCTGTGGGGTGGGACTTGCAGATTCTGTGAGATCCAGCAGGGAATTTTAAGGGTTCTGTAACCTAACATTTTGTCTCCCATTGAGAGAAAAATTGCAGAACCTGCTGAATATTGTGGAAAGAATGAGGATTTTTCATTGGTCAAATATAAGTGACTATGCCGGCTCTATCATGTGTTACCTTGGTCAACTTGATCATCTTAAATCTATGCTATATTTCATTTGAAAGGAACTCAAAGCACTTTGCAAGCTATGTTGCAGATACAGCACTAGCATCTCTGGTGTTGAAATGCAGGTCTTCTGGAATGAAACGTCACAGGAATGAAACGTCATAACTGTTTAACCATGCACAGTAACAGTTCACAGATCAAGACAGGAAATTCAGGTTTAAAAACCCTTGAAAATGTAGAAGTGTATATTTTTAGGGCAGCAGAGTATGATACAGTCTACTCTCTTGATGACTGCCTCGAGATATTAATTTGACCAGAAGTTGTCAAAAACTGTGTTTAGCAATTCAAAATGCCTACCTTTCATCGAGATGATCTAAGATCCCTCCCTTTGACTAGAGCTGTTAAGTTCAATTCTTACTCAAGTCAATGAAAAAGCTCCCACTGACTTCAGTAATACAGCAGCAGAATGCACTAGAAGACATGAAAGCTATCCCAGCTTTCACTCAATAAAAATCCTTACCAAATGAAGTCACTGAAATGTAATAGAATTTAAATATTAAAAATACCTCTGATAGTTATTTCTGTGTAATATAGTTATATGGCAGTTAATAACATTATAAATAGTTTATACTTAAAATAGTGCAACATTCATATACATTATAATTTTCTTCAAATACACCATTCCTATAGTATTTGAAATATTTTTGTGAGTTGAAATATTTTTGTGATTTGAAATATTTTTGTGTGATTTGAAATATTTTTGCTCCATTTTAAGCAAACATGCTCCTCCCAGCAGTTAGTGAAGCATTTTTTTCATGGCTAGCTTTTCCCCTTTAAACAGATTCTTTGACTGTAGGAAAAATGTTAAACTTACTAGAACAATTTCTTGTTATAAAGGTACTGATTAAAAGAGAACTTTTATTCAGAGGCAGGATTTCTTTCATTCATGATTTATTAAAGGTTTCCCCAGGCACAGGATCAGTAAAGTAAGTCTCATAAACTGTTGGGAAGGGGCAGAGTTCGCAGGCGTTTCCTTTGGAACTCAGGGGTCCAAGTTTTCTGATAAGCTTTTTATGTTGGTTACTGTCCCAAAAGTTTCATAGTATTTTAGGATGCCTCTTCTTGCTCATTTTGGTATCTGTTTACAAAAGAACTATTTGTAATGATGGCATGACTGCTGGGTGTCTGATTTTGAACAATCTTTTTCATAAGGGGTATGGGAGCTCTTTTCCGGTAGGAACTGGCTCAGGTTCAATATTAAATACGGGTTTGCAGTGAGTTCGGCCTAAAATTCTCGGAAGCAATTGGTGTTTAGCAGCTCAGACAATTGACCAGGGTCAAAATCTTCACCTTTCACTCCAGACCTTTCATGCTGCAAAAAACTCCCGAAATCTTAGAGGAGCCGTGGGTTGATTTTCTTGGAGAAGTCAGGGGAAGAGCGAGTGAATGACTGCCGAGTGCAGTCTGTGGTGTGCTAGGAGACAGGGCGTAGGAGCAGGCTGCGGTGTCCTGGAGGGCTTAGGAGCAGGCTGCAGGCAGAGTTAGAGAGCACCCAGATTCCAGGGAGCGCAGGGGCCCAGGCAGACAACCGTCTCCCAGAGTTAAGGTATATAAGCGAGCACCCAGATTTATCCAGGAGGTGGTGGATGCAGCGTCTTAGTTTAGCGTACTCACCTGCCTCCTGTCACATGTCTGTGGTACATCCACTGCTGATTTTATGCTGTTGCACAGTGCCCTGGTTCTTTGCCATCCCCTCCCCGCGGCTATCTGGACTCAGCTCCGGGAGCCCGGCTCATTATACAAAGCAATAGGACGCCCTCCTCTGGATTGCTGTGTCCAGCTGCACGTACTTCATACGAAAAGTGATACAGAAAGAGAAACATCAAAGTAAGGGAGATGGGAAGGATGAGGGTCTTTGAAAGACTTCTTTATAAATTGTGTTTTATGGAAAATAATAGCAAGTGATGTAATACAGTATGTGGCATAACATATTGAACAACCTGTGGGATATTTCAGTGTATCTATCCTCTGAGTATGACAGCTAAGGGCTACACTATAAGAAAAAGGAAACTGAATATATAAAGGTCATGTAAATTTATATGTTTGTATATATAGATATATAAATTTATGCCTATAAATAAGTTTTACAGGTTTATGTGTATGTGTATATATATGGCCAGAAGGAAAGCAGATTTGATTTTTGATTGACAGAAAAATATTTATTACTACAGTCCAGGACATCGTGTAACTGCACTGATGATTGGGTCAGGAAGACCTTTTTCCATGGACATGCAATAACAAATACCTGGTATGAGCTTTGAATGCTATGTCCTCCAAGCAAGTTACTTACTTGAAAGTAACGACTGAGTATCCCTTCGAGATCCTGCTGCAATCCTTGTGAATAAAAATAAAGATAGCCGTTTAAAGCAAGCTGTTGCTTGTTCACTGTGCTTGTTCACAGCTATGAGTCTGTACCTGTGACAGCCTACCATGTCAGACTCAAATTCTTAAAAAGTACCATCCTAGATGAAGTGCTACCTACAACTCTTGACTTTCCTGGCCAGCCTTGACTTCCTAACACTATGAAGCCAGATGGATTTTTTGAAAAGCAGGATTAGCTATTAAAAACAAGATTCCAGGGAAGAAAAAGAAATAGTTTTTTTCTGCCAACTGCTTATCACTGGATTAGCCAGGACCTTGCATGAGTGTTTCAAAGAGAGGAAATGACTGTCCCCTGTGAATGTTATGCTCGTGGTAATCATAATGCTTTTTTTTTTTGATAGTGGAGTAGAGAAGATGAGGCATGGTCTCACTGTTCTGTATGTTGAAAGATCAATCAGCAGATGCGCTAAGAAGTGTTTGCTTTGCACTCCTTTCCTCTAAATTTAAGATTCTGAAAAGGTTACCTTGTCTAGTGCTGCTCCGTCTAAGACCAGAGCTCTGAGCAAAGCAACAGAAGTTCATGAGAGGCTTTCAGTGGGTCGGCCCATTGCGATCCATAGCTGAATACTTAGGGTTAAGACAGCAAGGTATTGTTAGAAGATAAAGGATTGAGGGAACGACTAGGAAGCCATTTGCTCTTTCTCAAGTCAGAGAAGCAACTGAACATGAGATAATAAAACTATGTGCATAAACGTACACACATATATATATAAAAAATAAGATAGGTATTCCAAGAACTCACCCCTTTTGGATTAATTAAAGAAAATGGAAGGGTGGCAGTGGTCTGCATTAGAATCAGTCCACTATTAAGGTAAAGCAATCAAAATACAGTTCATTTTGAATAATGTTACTTAACATTTTTTAACTCTTCTAATTTGAAGGGGGAATCACATTATTTGTTTCCTTTTTTTTGAAACTTTCAATAAATACCCTGAAAGCATAAAGTTGGTACATTATTAGCATAATAGAAAATAAAGGTATGAAAGATCTGTGAAAATATCCCGGGAGTATTGCAGCTGTGTCTTAATAAATATTGTCGTTGATATACTGAACCACACGATGGCAGTGTATTGTTGGATAAAGACGAGGAGTCTGCTAAACTAGTCTGAAAACCAACTCTGCAGATTATACTTTTACCTAGTGTTACAGAAACTTTTGTCTTTTAGGGTCATCGAATCCTAATTTTAGCACAAGAAGGATTTTCCCAAGGATCTGGTTAAATATATCCACAAAGAAGTTCTTTGAAAAACAACACAAGCTTCTTTCCGATAAACCCTAGAGCATGAAAGTAACTTGAAGAGGTTACAGCTTCTTCTCGATTCCAGGCTCCATGACCTTGTGAACAGTAGATCACCTTTGGATGCCAAATATAACTCTATGTTTCCACTTCTGCTGAAGCCAATATTAAAACCGTTGCTGTATGTAGTGAGAATTGGATTAGCCTTATAATTAGGGACAGCAAAGAAAGATCACAATTCTAATGTGTTTTGTAAGAAGCACCACAGAATGGCCTTTGAAAGGTCATTTAGAAAAGCCTGGGTCAATGCGTGTAACTCTTTCAAAAGTTGGGCGCTCTGGTTTCGTCAGTGGCTGGTGCCTCTCTTGAGGTGGAGAAAGAGGCAGCAATTAACTCACTGACAGATAAGAAGGAGAAATGGAGTGTCTGAGCGCTTGGAGTCTGATCTTTCCTCAGTGTCAATTAGTGATAACTGCTAAACTGAGTGTTTCTTGGAAGCTAAGTTTTTGTACATGACCTTTTGCCTTTGTCATTAACTGTCAAGTCAAGCACCCGCTGCATTGGTCCTGGCTGTTCCTGTAAAGCAAGAGAAAGGGGGCAGGGGGAGGAGAATGATACTGCAAAATTGCGCTGTCCCATTTATTTATTTGTTCTAAAATATTCCTATCCATAATCCACAGCATAGTTTTAAAAGAATTGCAAAGTGAAGTAAGGAAAAAGTGTGACAGGGTTTTAAATGGGAGACAGCCCATCCCTCCCAGCCCACATTTGTTGAAATTTAATTTTCTTCCAATGTGTGAGGAAGGAGTGTCACAGTGTGGTTTGATCGTCAGTTGAGTTCTGGTGGATTAGGGGCAAAACAAATTCCAGAATTAGGACTCCTTCCCTTCCCCCTTCTGAATGGAGACCAGTTAGCTTAAGGCCTGCTGAGTCTTAGCTGTTTCACAGCTAAGTGAGAGGGGGTGTTTCTGAGGAAAGCAAACTGGTCATTTTGGCTAAGATTTCCAAAGGTGGGTAAAATGTTTGAACTTTATACCCTGTTGGGTTTTGGAGCTTAGCTTTCTTTAGGAGCTGTAGAAAACTCCCAGCTTTGTGGTTTTACAGACAATTCTGTAAACACAGACATTATTTGAAGAACTTGCACAGGTGCAGTCAATATTAGCTGTACGTGCAATATCTTACGGTGAACACCGACTGCTGATTTCCAGCCAGTGGGATATCGGTTGTGCAGCAGGGCAGTTCATAAAGTCAGTGGGCTGCTTGGGCCATGCCTTTTCCTGAGAGTGCCTTAGGGACAGGCTGCAGGCTGAGTGAATAGTTGACAGCAGCAGCCCACTCCTATCTGCTGTTATTTCCTAGGTGACACCCCACTATTTCGTAAGATGCATGACAGGCAAGCTCAGGGTCTTCCAGAAAAAATGGTTTCAGGAGCAAGCTGCCACACTGGAGCAATTCATGTGTGCCAGAGGTAATTCTGTGCTGGAGCCTGAGGGGTAGTTAAGAAACCTAACAGCCAGAAACAGGTTGCATGAAGTGCTCAGGGAGTGTCACCAGTGCCCTGCTGCCATCTGTCCCAAACTCTGCAAATACAGACATAGAGCAGCTTCAGGCAGGCTCAGTTCCCATGGACAATTCTAGATCTATGCAGGTGCAATGAAACCAGAACTTCCTAGAAGCATGGACATGTTGTATGATTAGCTACAATGTGCCAGGAGAAAGGTCACAGCACGTGGCATCCTCCTGCCGTGTGATACAGGCGGAAGGTATGCGATATATTCAGCCGGGAAGACTGGACACTTTAAACCAGCTGAAGAAGTTGCCATGAAGCTCTTCTCTAAGCCCAGAAAGTTATTTCCTGCCTATCTGTTACGTCGCTTGATGCTTGCCCATTATTTTAAGACCTTTTACAAACATACTATATCAAGCAGAGATTTATCCTTAAAATTTAACAGTAAATTTCCTTTGATTTTCCAAACATTGTCATTTGGCCTCAACCTTTAGGAGTTATCTGCCAAGAAGTGGTTTTGGTGGGTGGAGTTAAGCATCAAAAAACTGTCATGTGATTGCATTCGGTATCAATGAGGCTGGGGCTCCTTCTTTCATCTAGTAATAAGAATACTAAATTCCTGCCTTCCCTCATATCACTCCCAAAGGACCTTTTTCATGTTTCCAGCGTGTGTGGTGCCCATAAGGTCATTTTCTTCAAAGGACTCAGTTCCCTGTCTGCACACCACAACAGCTGACCGAATTTTGTAAAAAGATTAACGTTCCAGCTGTGGAACCCTCGGGACACTGTTGCCTATTTTCTCAGTGAAAACTAGCTTAGGACACGGGACATGATTAGGAAACTTCCATAAAAGTCCAAGTATGATCCTTTTGTGTTCTGAAAAGCAATTTCTTTTAGAACCTTGTAGATAAATACATTTAGGACTATATCTAAACAGCTCCTGTCTTCTTGATCACTTTGTCCTTTTCGTAAGAATGACTCACAGATTCATGAGAATTGGCTTACACTGACACAAAAAAGGAGAATCATCTGATAAAATTCTAGAAAAACACACAAAAGAAATAGTTCATGAGGTAATTTCCTTCCCTCTGCCAATATCATATAATCCTTTACAGAATATTTTTGCTCTTTTGCCCTAAATTTTCCCATCTGATGTGTTCAGAATTTCAGATTTACAATTTTAAAATACTTTCTGGTATTTAGTATAAACATTCCTTTTCATCCTTTCGTTCCATTACAGTTTTTTTAACAATAAAAAATTATCTCCCACTACTGTGAGTTTGACGCTGTATTCCTCAAGTTCTTGTCAAAAGTTAGGCAACACTGGTTACACCCATGTTAGTTAGCCACTGCCTTCTGAAAGCAATTAAATATGTACTATTCAAGCACCTTAATAATTTTCACTCTTCTCTGAATTCCCTCCAATTTCCCATTAGACTTTGTTACAGTCATAAAGATTAATAACAAGGATTTAATCCTGTTTCTCAATTTCCAAGTCATCTTAATGTAGCTCAAGACATAACACAGTAACATGAAGAGAACAGCAGGTCCAGCAAGAGATTAAAAGAGCAGCATGATTCTGAATAAGCTGTAAACTTTTTAAAAAAAATGAATCAGAAGGGCAGCTAAGAAACCATTAGAGAAGCCATCCAGAGGAAACACCAGTGCTAATGTGTTTCATAGCAAAAAAAATGACATTAAGAGTTTTCAGCAAACTAAATCTATGAGGTAGTTAATAAGAAATGCAAAATATGTATGTGATAGAAGTAAGGACAAGGTATATTTAACTGTGGATTCCAGCGATGATATTTCAACAGAGATTTTTCAAAAGAAGGTGAGAATTTGGGGCTCATCTGTCCCTATGCTTCTGAAAATCTTTTCTATACAAAAAGGCAACAAGGAGCTGTTGATGCAGGTTTTAACTGATGTTTGTTTATGCACATATTTACATATTAGACACAGGGGATCTTCTGGGTCAGTTTAGGAAAGGTCAGATTTTTCCCACTGATGTGGAGCTGGAGACTATTCATTCCATATGGCTGTCTGAGAGCTCTTTGCTCGTTGTCTCTGACTGGCAAGAGTTTGCAGGTGGCAAAAGCAGTAGACACCTTTCTGGTGCATTTCTGAGCTGACACTAGAGTTTCGAGTGGGAAGGTGAACAGTTTTCAGTGACATGATGCAGGTGTGTCCTTTTTTTTTTCCTCCCCT